AGGAAGAGAGAGTAGGTCATGGGGGAACAGGAAGTTGAGTGGATGGGGGTAGAATAGGGGGAAGAGGGAATCATAGGTTAGAAGACAGATCAGGCACCAGAGTGACCTCGAGTGATCTAAAGGGATAACACCAATTGGCAAGCTAAGCAATAGTGGAGAGACCACCTCGAATGCCCATTCCTGATAATGAACTTGATATCTATAACCATCCGGGAGCCTTCATCCAGTGATTAATGAAAGCAGAGGCAAACACACAATTAAGCACTGAACTGAACCCAAGGAGCCCAGTAACAGATAGAGAGGAGCGATGAGCAAATTGGCAAAGAATGGGCTGGCAAAACCAGCAGAGACAGCTGATCTGAACAGGGGAGAACTCTTGGACCCCAGACCGACAGCAGGGAGGCCAGCATGGGACTGATCTGGACGCCCCAAATGTGAGTGTCAGCGAGAAGGCCTGGGCAACCTATGGGGCCCTGAGCAGTGGATCAGTGTCTATCCCTGGAATACAAACAGTCATCGTGTGCCCATAGCACAAAGAGGGATGTTCTCTCAGCCTGGACTCTTAGGGGGAGTGCCTGGACCCTACCCGGAGTGAAATGACAGACTCTAGATATCCCCTATGTGGAAGGAATTGGCAATAGGGTGGGAGGCTGGGGGGGTAAGGGGAGTGTGGGAGGAAGGGAGGGAGAGGGAACTGGGATTGACATGTAAAACAAGCTATTTAAAATTAAAATTAAAAAATGATAAAAGAAAAGAAAAGTAACAAGAAAAGCTAGGCAAGGTAGACTACATCCCTACCATGTGCAGACTCTGGACTCATCGCCTTCTATAGCCAAACTTAACTGATTTAAAAAGTGTCTTCTTGGGTCACCTTGTGTTGTCTTGATTCATAATCCACTTAGCCATATGTAAAGACAGCAGGTTCCTTGCAAGTTAAGTCAAACTAGAGAACTTCAAATGTAACATTCATCTGAACTTTAGAACTCCAACCTACTCTTCATTGTGGGACAGAGTAAAGCTGAGCTTTACTGCCCTCCTGCTGACATCTAAGAGAGCGTTAGAACCCGGCACACGGGATGCAGGAGCAGACGGATCTCTGTGTGCTTGAGGCCAGCCTGGTCTACATAGTGAGTTCCAGGTCATCCAGGGCTACATAGAGAAACCCTGTCTCAGGAAAGAGAAGCATCAGGCAACAGAACCTACTGTGTTTTGTAGCTCAGGCTAACCTAACCATCAGACACTGGCCAGTTGGACACACTGAGTTTGGATATACAGAGGTTGATTCTGTAAGAGTCTATGTCTCCCTACATCTGGATAGTAAGGGTCCCCTTAGGCTCTGCCTCTGCCTGGCAGAAACCACTGTTTCCTCCTGCCATGCTCTTCTCCCCAGAGAAGCCAGACACAGCTCTTTACAGACGCTGTGCCCAGGCTCCATCCACGGGTTTCTTACAAGAGTCTCTGTCCTGCTCATCATCACCTATCTCTACATATGGCCTCTATTCAGATTTTCAGTCTATCACCAACCATCCTTGCTGCAAGTCTGCAGGAGGAAAAGTCAAGAGGCCAGGTCTAAGCAGAAGAGACTTCTGTCTCCATGTGTCTCTCAGAAATACATGTTAAAAGGCATGATCCGTTTAAAATTTGCTGTCTTTAAATCATCATGGGCAGTAGTGGTGCACACCTTTAGTCCCAGCACTCGAAAGACAGAGGCAGATGGATCTCTCTGAGTTCGAGGCCAGCCTGGTCTACAGAGTGAGTTCCAGGACAGCCAGGGCTACACAGTGAAACTCTGTCTCAAAAAAACCAAACTAATAATAAATGATCCTTTTCTCTGTGGAACAATATAAGCACATAACTTACAGATTGCTTAGATGAAGTGTACCCTCTCCTGGAGGAGGCACAGAGGCTTTCCTGCTCACAGATAAACACCCTGGGAATGTGGGATGCTAAACACTCAGGGTTGTCCCTTCAAGAGAAGGAAGGACCCTAATATCTGTCACCTGCCCAGAAAGCTAAAGCAGACACGCTTTCTAGCTATCTGGGTGGGTAGAGACTTCTCCAGCTCTGGACACTCACCCAGACGCTTATGGTAATTTTTTTCCTCTGTCAAGCTATAGAGCCTACCTTTACAGACTTTACATAGTGTTTCGATGCAGTCGTATCTGATCTGTATCTAGCTAACTTTGTTCAAGATTTATGTGTGACTTGTTGTGCACATGGGATCAAGTGCATTATCACCAGAATAACTTTTACCAAATTGTGCTGGGCTTAAATATGCCTAAAATAAACCATTCAGGGTTCAAATGCCGGAGGTTTGAACCAATACTGGCTACTGAGTGCTGAGGTGAGTTCCTGTGGCTTGTCTCTCTACAGACTGTGAAGGTCACAGAGACCCCAGAATCTCCCTTAATTTTTACATCAGCAGGGTTAATGTGTCTCCATTAGGGTTTCCATTGCTGTGAAGAGACACCATGACCACGGCAACTCTTATAAGGAAAACATTTACTTGAGGTGGTGGCTTACAGTTTCAGAGGTTCAGTCCATTGTCATCGTGGTGGGCCGTGGTGGCGTGCAGGCAGATGTGGGGCGGGAGATGTGGCTGAGAGTCCTACATCTTGACTGAAGGCAACAGGAAGTGAACTGGGACACTGGGCATGGCTTGAGCATATGTGAGACCTCAAAGCCCGCCTCCACAGTGACACACTTCCTCCAACAAGGCCACACCCACTTCAACAAGGCCACTCCTAACAGTACCCCTCCCTGTGGGGGCCAGTTTCTCTCAAGTCACCATACCATAGCTTCTAGAACTGTACCGGAAACCAGATGTCCCTAGCGTTGGGTTCCGAGGGACATTCTATTCAGACTGTAGTGACCAGTCCCCCATTTTAGCAGCCATGACAGGCTAACATGTGCTTGCATGACCTTGCCGCTCCTGTCCTGGTCACTAAGGTCAGATGCCCTCCTTGTGGCAAGGAACCAATCAGAAGTTAGCTGGCGGGACTGTACTTTAAGGCTCTGGGTGTGCTTTACAGACAGTGCACAACAGTGACTTGCAGAACATAGCAACCGCCCTGGGAGGGCTTATGGGCCATAACAACCAGTTGACCAATCAACACAGGGTGGTCATCCAAACCTGGAAGTACACCAATCCTGAGACTGTTTCATACCCCTAGACACTCCCCTTACGCTGCCCTTTAAGGTCCCTGCCTCGAGGTTGCTTGGGGTCTTTCTCCAGCCATCCGCCATGGTGGGGGGGTGAAGAGCCCGAGCTAATGGGGTTAGCTCCTTAAACGTCTACAATAAAAGACTCTTTGCTTTTGCATCGAAATGGGCCTCTTGGTGATTTTGGGGTTCAGAATTTGGGCACAACAAGACAGTCATGGATATGCCTTTTTCTCCACAGCTGTGTGATCCAGGACAAGCGAATTAAGGTCTCTGAGATTTTATACCTTCATTTGAAAACAGAGTGAATGCAGGGTATGGTCGCTCTTGCCTGCACGGAATCATCACACTCAAGCAGCTGGAGCAGGCCACTGATGCAAGTTGGGGCTACGTAGTTCTAGGTCTGGACTACAGAGCGAGTCCCCATCTTAAAAAAAAAAAACTGCAAAAACCCTCCCAGATTGGGTTGTGGCAAGATGGCTCAGAAGGTAAGAGCACTTGTGAGACAAACCTGAAGACCTCAGATCCCTGGCAACGACGGTGGAGAGAACCAGCTCGTGGAAGTTGCCCTCTGACCTCCACACACACTGCAGCATGTAGATGTCGTGGCTTACTCATAACATAGCATTTACACTTACACACACACACATGCACACACACAATTTACAGTAGTAAATAATTGGATTAAAAAAACAAAATACAATAGTATACATACGTAGCAATGTCACCATGCAAATTACTTTTTTCTATGCCACACGCCCCTCCCCCCCAAAAAAACCCAAACTGAAGAAACAGAAAACCATAGTGTTATCAGTGACAGATAACACGTTACCACGCTGGTTACATAGAGGCATGTTGGGAAACACCAGCGTGACACACAGCTAATAAGTGGTGGGTCTTCAGTTCACGATTTGCTTTCCTTTGGATGCTAACCCTGATCATCGGTTTCTCTACAGCATACCATGAAACATTTGAATGCATTTCTATCACTCAAGTTCCTTTCGGCTACCAGTAGCAGTTCAATTCAACCTAGATAAAGAAAAGAGGGGTTTTAAGCATATGAGATTACCTTGAAGCGTCTCCTAGAAGCCCATGCTCTCAGGACCCATCTGAAGCAAGGGAAGAGACATCTTGGGAAGAGGCTAGACCCCCTGCCACTTTGTAAATACTCCTCTTGAGGGCTGACCTATTTTTCTCCCTGTTTTATGGCCTGCTTGGGTCTGTCCCTCTGACCACAAGGTTGGGGTGTGGCCATTCACAGTTCTAGCCCTAAGCCAGTTCAACCAGTCCTGCTTTTATTAGAGCGAGACCAAGCCACCTACACTTGTCACTCAGCCCCGAGGATCCGGAGGAGGGGCAGCACATCCCTGTGTATCGCAGTTGACAACGGTCTCCTAAACTCCACGGCTCCACACTCGAAACTGGGATTGGCTAGAGAGGAAGTAGAAATAAGAGTAGCCAGTCAGTTGGCTTCCCCACTTCCTGTGGTTAAGCAGAGCCAACAGTGCTGGGTACTTCCTCGCTGTGTCCCCACCAGCAGCTGGACGCTGGAGGCTGGCTGCAGGGGGACATGTGGCTGTGGAGGCCACTCAGGAGCTTGCTGAGGCATCAGTGTTGTAGGAGCTCCAGCCTGGCTGGGTGGATGTTGGATTTCGTCAGTGAAATGAAAGCAGGCTGAGGGGCTGGAGAGATAACGTGGTGGTTTGGAGCGCTTGTTGCTAGGGTTCTTCACAAGTACCTATAACTCCAGTTTAGGGTATCCAACACTCTCTTCAGGCGTCAATGAATGGATACCAGGCATGCACATGGTTTGCACACACACACAGCACTTGCATATATACATAAAATAAAAGCTATTTTTTTATTTGAAAAACAAAGCAGGCACAACTGACTGGATGAAAAGTCAAGGGCGAGAAAGAGTTTGGACGTAGCAAATCATTCAGGTTTAGACTGTGGAACCGCACAAGCATGAATGACCCTTCCCTCTCAACGTGCAAAGAGAATCAAAGGAGACCCGCCTCCATGCACCGCTCTCTCCAGCATTGGTTAAACCATCAAGTCCCAGAGCAGACACTCACCACGTCTGCACGACTCTGTCACAGACCAGCTGGCCCTGAGGCTCAGTGGCATCTGGAGGCAGGAGGGCCAAGAAAACCGGGGTTTCAGCCCCCTCCTCCGCAGTCCTGGAGCCCCAGCCCCTCGCCAAGTCGGTCTCCACCGGTCCTGGGCAGCAGGCATTGAGCAGAATCCTGTCCGCCTTCCTCTTCTCGTCCAGCTGCCGGGCCAGGATTCTGGAAAGGACTGTCACCCCCAGCTTGGACACCCCGTAAGCTGAGTCTGGCCAGCCTTCCCTCTCGTGGACTTCGTTTTTTGTGTCCTCCACAAACTTTTTCATGAGGTCCACCAGGTCCCCCTCTGTGAGTGCGTCGCTCCGGAACCTCTCCTGAAGATCCTCACTGCAGTTTTCAAGAGCCTTTGACCCCTGCAGACTGCTGACGTTAACCACGCGCCCTGCAACACACAACAGAGGGCCCGCTAGTGCACAGTCACCACACTGAACACACAACAGAGGGCCCCGCTAGTGCACAGTCACCATGCGCCCTGCAACACACAACAGAGGGCCTGCTAGTGCACAGTCACCACGCTGCTCTCTGTATCCGTTGCTGATGGACACAGGAGGTGGAGCAGCAGCCGGAGGGCTCCCCAAGCAAAGGCACTTGCCTCCACGCCTGATGACATGAGTTCCTCTGAGGGGAAGGAGAGGAGTGATTCCTGTGGTTTGCCCTCTGACATCCACACATACACACAGACACACACACAGACACACACACACACACACACACACACGCAAGCACAAAGTGTGTGTGTGTACTCATGGATACCACATAGAAGTTAAACAAAAATATAGAGAGCAAGTCTAGAAGACATAAAATCCATGTGCCCAAGGGTATGTGTACACGTGTGTGTGTGTGCACATGCGCGCGCACCACCGGCCACCAGGCTTTCCTTCCACGGCAATTCTATTCTCCTATTGCTGGAGTTGCTGACTTGAGTTTCATATAAATTAGTGGAAGGCATTCTTAGCACAGAATTTCCAGCTGCTTCTGTGGCCCTGACATACTTCCACCATTTTTGTAATATGCTGAAATACTGATGGACTCTGGAAAATGCGGGAGATATGCTACATCCTACAGTGTCACACGGTCAATCCAGATCTAAACCTCTATGTAAATACAGAAGCACATGCATCTCATTAGCAGGCAAATTTGCAGTAATCTTGAATGGCAACATTCTGTGGGTTTTTTTTTTTCTTTTGGAGACAGGGTTTCTCTGTGTAAGCCCTGGCTGTCCTAGAACTCACTCTGTAGACCAGGCTGGCCTTGATCTCAGAGACCCACCTGCCTCTGCCTCCGGAGTGCTGGGATTAAAGGTGTGCATTACCACCACCTGGCTTCAATCCACCTCCACCCCCCAAGAGTCTTGGGCAGCTTAGATTGGCTTCAAACCCTCTTTAAGGAGCTGCGGGTGATCTTGGGCTCCTGATCCTCTTGCCTTCTCCTGGAGAATACAGGCATAACCTGCTGCTTCCAGTTTATACATTACTAGGAACAGAACCCAGAACCTTGTGCATGCCAACAAGCAAGCCTTCTACCAACTGAGCCACGTCCCCAGCCCTGAAAGAATTATTTTAAATGTTTTGGTGGTTCATTACCAGAGAAGGTTGGTTTATATACCTATTTCACACACCTGGTATCGTATAGAAAAGGTTTAGAGATGACGGTACGTGAGGTCTCTAGGAGATCTGTGGCAGCTGGGAACCACCCAGAAGGGAACTAAAATGCTGAGTCAGGGAAGGAGTCCTCAGGGTCATAGCTGCTTTATGTTTTCACAGCAAAGACACACAAGAGCAGACACGGTACCCAGGGGCCACCCACAGCCCCATGGTTAAACATATCACAGGGGCAAACACATCCTACTCACAGGACCAGCTTCCTAAAAGCTTGCTCAGTCAGGATGGGATATGCTATGCAACCTGGAATCTTGGATTCTTCCTGTATCAGACGCCCACTTTTCCTTTGTTCAGAACTGGAATTTCCATCCCCCTGAGCAGGTATCCTCGGCTGTCACTGTGTTTTTGTTTTTGTTTGCTTTTAAGCAGCTGTCTCAGCAGGAAAGCTTCGGCTTATACCACCCTTGAGTCCAGACCCATCGGACTCACTGCTACTATGTCTAGACCCAAGCCATCATGTCAGGTGACAGGATCAGCCGGCCTCTTCCTTCCACACTCGGTCTCTGCCTACTTGTAGCCTGCATCCCAGGGAGACTACTCCTTTATCCTTCAGGGTTAAAGTTCCCCAGTCCCTCCGTTTGCACAGATTGCTGGGTAGGGCTGTGGGCGGCCACCTCCATCCCTGAGCTCCAAGTGACTAACCCAGAGTCAGGCCACTCCTGGGGGTGACAAACCTAGTGATGACCATATCTACCCAGAAGGGCGGCCCACTCTCCACGCCTGGTTCTGACTTCAATAATCTAAGTTAACAATAACATTGCTAATTAACCAATTCATTAACATGGATTAATATTATTCACACTGACAAAAATTCACAGCAACTAAAGAGGCATTTGGGTTCATAATATAATTCCAGCGTTTAGGAGGCTGAGGCAGGAGGACTACTGTGAGTTCCAGGCCAGGCTAGGCTAAACAGTTTCAGGTTGGCAAAGTTTACATAGAAGGGAGGGAGGAAGGGAAGGAGGGAGGGCAATGAAGAAAGTAAACACTAATTCTAGGAGCTACTGGATGCCTTCCAGGGAATTCTAATCCTTATTGTGGGGTGTTGTCTGGCATCCTCTTTGATCTGAGGGCACATGTTGGACAATGCTGGGGTGATCAAAGGTCAGCCTCATAACTAGATGTGTGTGTGTGTGTGTGTGTGTGTGTGTGTGTGTGTGTGTGACTCCAAGCATCCAGAAACACTTCCCTCCCCTTTTTAGCGAGAACCGGCAAGTAGCTCCCTCTAGTGCCTTAATTGTTGCTTAAGCTGTTTTTGGCTAAAAGCTAAGTAGAAAGTAAAGGGCCATGATGATCCCTCAGTGAGCATCCCTTTAGCAAAGCCAGATATTCTGGTCACGCCATAAATCAGATTGCCCTTTGGGAAGGAAATTGCAGACTTGATTAGAGACACGGCTCTGCTTGTTTCTACACCCTGGGTTAACTCCAAACAACACGCTCACACTCCCTACACTGGGCTTTTCTTTACCTTCCAAATAGCTTGGCTCACATTTGATGCTACAATTCTGTGTTTTGTTTTTTAAAGACAGGATTGCTTTGTAGCCTTGGCTCACCTGGAACTCACTCTGTAGACAAGGCTGGCTTCAAACTCACAGAGATCCACCTGCCTTTGCCTCCTGAGTGCTGGGATTAAAGGTGTGCGCCACCACTGCCAAGATGATGCTATACTTCTTATTTCAATAGAATAAAATATTTAATCAGGTGGTGTAGGTTAAGCCCACCTCCAGAATCTCAGGCTGCTGGATGTTGGGCCTCAGCCCCTGCAGGGTCTCTGTGAGTTGCTTGTCAGCCAATGACCACAGGTGCATCCTGTACTCTAGTCCTGGCTTACAGCCCTGGCCTTGCCCCACTGGCATCAACCTCTAATTATGAAAACACGAACTCTTACACCTGGGGTTTCTCCACTGTGGTTTTTGTTTTTGTTTTTGTTTTGTTTTGTTTTGTTTTTCGAGACAGGGTTTCTCTGTATTGCTTTGGAGGCTGTCCTGGAACTCACTCTGTAGACCAGGCTGGCCTCAAACTCACAGAGATCTGCCTGCCTCTGCCTCCCGAGTGCTGGGATTAAAGGCATGCGCCACCAACGCCCGGCTTTCTCCACTTTGTTGTTAACCCTGTATATAAGGCTGCCTTGTAATAAACGCACACGCATGAGCACACATGCATGCACACGCACACACACATGCACACGCACACACACATGCACGCACGCACGCACACAAACGGCTGGATGTCTTGTCTTTCATTTAAGTCTCCAGGCTTTCACCCGAAACATTAGACTTCCTATGATCCTATGCCACTAAGGAAATGATGGAGGCATGACCTTGCAGGTTGGCAGTGAACAGGTGGATGGGCAGAAACTCAAGTTCAGACTGGTGTGGTAGTGCACTCCTGGAATCCCAGCATTCAGGAAGCAAAGGTAGGAGGGGGGGCATCGGAAGTTCAAGGCCAGCCCCATCTACACAGCTAATTCAAGGCCAGACAACACTACAGAGTTAAGCCCTGTTTCAACATAACAGTAACAGTTACCAAACAAAACCGAACCAACCAAACAAACCAGCAAAAACAGAGGAAGATAAATTCTTGTATCTTGAGTTAATTCTCATCCAAGATATTGAGAAAATGACACTTTTAGATGCATTTTATGTGTATGCGTGAGTGTTTTGGGTTTGTATTATGTGCACCAAATGCATGCCTGGTGTGCAAGGAAGTCAGCAGAGAGTGTTGGGTTCTCTGGAACTAGAGTTGCCCGTGGCTGTGAGCTGTGTGGGTGCTGGGAGCCATGGGAAGGGAGCCCATGACTTCTGCAAGAACAATTGCTCATCATTGCAGAACCATTTCTCTAGCTCTGACAATTACATTTAAAGAGCAACAGCCGCAGGGCTTACCCTCAGTGTCACAGCTAACCTTGGCAAACGAAGCTGTGCTCTGCCCCCACCCAAGCACAGTCGGCCATTTCCCAGGCTTGATTCCTTGCTGCTCTCTGCATCCCGGCTCAGCAGCAGGCTCTGTGGGCGACGTGGGCCTCGTGCGTACATTATGTTCCTGGCATGCACACTACAGGAACATTAGAGGGGACATTAGCAATCTACTGACCCCCTCACAGGCTGGAGGTAGGTAAGGTGTTTCCCATCAAAGAATATCTTTTTTTAAAATTTCTCTCTGTCAGTTTACAACATTTAGAATAAACACACATAAGGTTTCTTTTTTTTTTTTTTTTGAAACTTTACACAAGAAAAACATTCATTATGCCAGACAAACCAGGGGCGGGCCCATCCTTTCACGCTCAGGGGAGGACCCTGAGGCATCACAGACCTTTGGGGACAAGCTACCTCCTGGGTTCACCACACAGACCCTGAGAACACTGATCTGTCCTGCCGAGCTCTGACAGTCACAGCCAGAACGCTCAAGTGAGCAGCCAGGCACTGAGAAAACAGGGAGGTTCCTGTAGGTGGCGCTGTCCAAGGGTCATGCGGGACTTACCGTGCGGTTTCATTATGGGTAGTAACTCAGTGCAGACATTTCTAGTGGCGAAAAAGTTCGTCCTTAGTGTCATCTCAGCTTGAATGTCGAAGGGTGTTGGATCATCCACTTTGAAATGCATAAGGAAAAAAAAAAGAGGAATTACATTTCCCTCTGAAACTCTTATGAGGAAGGTGGATCCCACCACATAACAACTAAAGGAGAAGCAAGCTAAGTTTAGAAGTCTTGCAAACACTTAACTCTCTCCCTGTCTCTGTCTCTGTCTCTGTCTCTCTGTCTATCTCTGTCTCTGTCTGTCTCTGTCTCTCTGTCTATCTCTGTCTCTGTCTGTCTCTGTCTATCTCTGTCTCTGTCTCTGTCTCTGTCTCTGTGTCTCTGTCTCTTTCTCTCCTTCTGTCTCTCTCTGTCTCTCTCTCTCTCTGTCTCTGTCTCTCTCTCTCTTGAGAGTTCTAAAGCTCTTATGAGCACAGGGAAAGAACCTTCTGGTCCACACACCCAGTTTCTCAAGAACACCTAGTTTGGCCTTCCCATCTCAAGCTGGAATAATACACCTAATCGGTTTCTGGAGTGTGGGTGGAAATACCGGCCCTGATGCGGCCGGTGTTAAGACCTCAGCTTCTGTGTGGATACCGGGCTCAGCTTCGCATCCGCTCACGCTTCCAGAAGCAGGGGTTTCCAGGGCCATAATTCACAGTCCCTCCATCAGTGGCTGACAGTTGCAGGGGTGGTGACGTCGCGCCTTCCCTTTCGCGAAGCCCATGGACTGAGTTTGGAAGTGCGGGCGGGTGGGAGGTATCCTTGGGTCTTAAGCAAGGCACCTGCGGTGGCCCCGGACCAACAGGACAGAGACTTCTTTCTGCCCAGCGATTGCCTCGGTCCCTTGTCAGTTTCTGACTCACATCTCCCAGCATTGTAAGCGAAGCTGGCCTGTTTGTTTTTGTTCCCACCACGTGACAACTGAATAGTTTTGCTAACTGAGCATTTGTTAGAGTAAAGAGATCTTGATCCCCCTTACTCCCCCCGCCCCTTAAGGAAGATGCTTTCAAAACCACTCTTGCAAGTTTGATAACAAACCTTAGCTCCCAGGAGGAGGAAAGCGAGGCTCGCTTCCTTTTTGCTAGAGCCTCTCAAAACTCTCCCTGAAAGCCCATAGGAAACCCCACTACCGTGCCAGCGCGCTCTAATTGTGTCTGAGCGACCCATTTCCTGTCCTCGGAAGATGTCTCCTGGCATCTATGAATGCGCCCTTGTTTCACGCAAAGCGAAGGCTCCAGCCGCTTTTGGAAGACACTCGGGTGAGAAAAGCCTTCGTGCGTGGAACAGAAAGCTGATGAGCTTGGCAAGGCGTGGCCCACTCCCAGGAAGCCGGTTTTCTTGCAAAAGGGAGCAGCTGAAAGTTCCAAGGAGGGCCTCCGGCGGCGCACAGGCCAGCACAGGCCGCCGGCCGGCTGGGCAGGCAGGGCGTGGAGTGGGGCGCCTGGGCAGGCCCGCACCCGAGTCACTGCACGCGGGAACGCGCCTCGCAGGGTGTGAGCCCGGCGTGCCCAGAGGGGATGGCGCAGCCCTCCCGGATCCCCAGCGCTCGCTGCCCAGCACCCTCGGAGAACCCCGGGCACCTCCTCCTGGAGCCCCGCACCTACTTCTAAAGGCGATGCCCGCGTTGTTGACCAGCACGTTAAGTCCCCCGTACTCCTTGCGCAGAAAGTCGCGCAGGGCCCGGATGCTCTGCGGGTCGTCGATGTCCAGCTGGTGGAAGCGGGGGCTCAGGCCCTCCGCCTGCAGCTGCTGCACCGCAGCCTTGCCCCGCGCCTCGTCCCGCGCGGTGAGCACCACGTCCCCCGAGAACTTCCGACACAGGTCACGCGCGATGGCGAAGCCGATGCCCTTGTTGGCCCCGGTCACCAGCGCCACGCGGCTGCAGGACGACATATCGGAGGGACACGCGGGCCACTGGCTTGCAGGGCCGGCTGCGCAGCGGGCCACGCGCGATCAGAACCGCGGCGCAGGACGAAGTCCTGGGACCCGGCGCTGTGACTGTAGAGAGCAAGGCCCTGGGCGTCGGTCCCTCCCCTCCGAGGAGGGGCCATCCGTTCCCGAAGGGTCCGCCTCCTCCCTCAGGCTTGCAGGAGTACTGATCCCGGCTCGGAGCTGAGTCAGGGTCAGGGACCTGCTCCCAAAGGAATCGCAAGGGGTCAGCAGGACTCGTGGCAGTCGGGTTGGAGCAACTATTTGGGGAAAACCTCAAAAGGAAGAAAACAAGGTCTAAGTAACTTTCTTGCGCTGGAGCCCGTCGTCTTCTGCAGGATGTAAACGCTTGCTTCTGCGGAACTGAGATGACTTAACACCGTTCTAGGGCCGATTCCCGGCCGCCTGCTTTGGGGAACGGAGCCTGGGAGCAGACTTAACAGGTGTGGGCGAGCTCTGCGCGTCTGGAGGGCTCGCTGCGCCCCCACGTGGGAGAGCAGGTTCGCGTTTACGGGATCGTTTTATGTAACCCGGACACCTACAGGAGCCCCCTGTGCCGGCGTCTGGGTTTGCCCAAGTGTACCAGAGTTCGTAGACAGGGCGGTAGGGGTCTAGGTCGACGCGAATCCTCTCCCAAGGGGACTCTGAATTCAGGAACAAGTTCCAGGCATGACATCAGACCTCCTCCCAGGCTGTCTTGATCCCAGGGTAGCCACTCGGGGTTTAAGGACAACCAAGTCCTCACGGTGATTCAGTTTTTCCCAAGCCGATCCTGTCAAACTGCCCTAGCCTCTTGCTCCCGACTCCACCTTCTCTTTCAAAAGATCCCGGAGCTCAGAGAGATGAGCCCCGTGGGGGCCTAGTGTGCCTGTGCCGGTTAACTTGAGAGGACCCAGAACCAGCCGGGAGACAGACCTCTGGGCGCGTCTGTGAGGGAGTTTCTCAACTAGTCTGACTGGGGTGGGAAAGACCATCCCTAACACAGGCAGGATGGGATGCTGGGCTGAGGCTGTGCAGCTGGCTCAGGGGTAAAGGTCTCGAGGACTAGAGTTCAAATCCCCAAGGTCCACATAATGTGGGGTGGCTGGCCTGTTATCCCAGCCCAAAGGAGCCAGAAACAGGATTCCCGAAGCAAGACGATTAGTTCAAGTGAGAGAGCCTGCCTCAAGAAGGAAGAGATGGATGGAGGAAGAAGGACATTTGATGTCAATCTCTGACCTCTGCACTCAGAGGCTCCCCCACCCCCCACACACACCCACACGGGCGCGCGCCTGCACACACACACGCGCGCGCAAGAAGAAACAACATGAGCTAAGCACTAGTGTACATCTCTCTCAGCTCCCTATAGACAGTTTGACAGTTTGACCATCTGTCTTATGTTCCAACCGTCAACCAAAATAGACCTTTCCTTCCTTCCTTCCTTCCTTCCTTCCTTCCTTCCTTCCTTCCTTCCTTCCTTCTTTCCTCTCTTTTCTTTTTTCTTTTTTGGGCAGGGCAGGGTTTCTCTGTGTACCCCTGACTGTCCAGGAACTCGCTCTGCAGACCAGGCTGGCCTCGAACTCACAGAGATCTGCCTGCCTCTGCCTCTGCCTCCTGAGTAAGGGGATTCCACTGCTTTCTCCCCTAAAGACCCGTGGGGAATTTGGGGTGTTGTTCAGTGATAGTGCCCTTGCCTAGCTGTCCCTCGTGAGTGACAGTTACTGAAGAGAATCTCTGTCTGCTGTGAACAGAGCTCCAGGGAGCAGTCTGTGTCTGCAGAGACCGACGGGCAGACTGGAATTTCACCACTGTGGAGGCATCTGAAGTTTGCAGGTACAGAGGCTCATGACTTTGTCTTGGGCTAGTGTTAGCTTCTGGAATGGCCACGCCTTACCCAACTCCGTGTCTGAACTAACAACTCATGATGATAATAATTACAAACCTCTTAGGAGCTATTAACAGGGCAGGATACTAGCTTCCACAAATCCAAGAGCTCCGAATGTCATCAGACAGCACCTGCCTATAGCACAGCTCCCCATCTCTTTGTACCCCTCCCTCTGGTGTATCCACCAATGTATTTTAAAGTTGTCTTGATTTATGACTTTCTGTGTTCTTTAAAACCATAAAACCTTCATGAAACTGTTTCTGTGTTGGACACATGGAACTCAGGATAACCTAACTCTGTATTCCCCCGGGACATGGTCACTCAGTGGCCATACAATAGACTGTCTTGTTATAGAGATTATCTTAACTATGTAGAGATGTGTTACATTTGTTTATGCTGCGATTGTTTAAGGATATAAGAATGTGTGTTTAACTATGTAAAGATGTGTTGGATTTGTTTCACCTTGCTTGCCTAAGGCACTTGATTGATTGGTTTAATAAAGAGCTGAACAGCCAACAGCTAGACAGAGAAAAGTTAGGTGGGACTTCTGGGGACAGAGAGGTCTCAGGGAATAAGTAGGGCAGGATTGCCAGCCGGATGCAAAGGGAGCAAGACAAACAAGAGGGGAGGTAAAAGCCACGAGTCACGTGACAACATGTAGACGAATAGAAATTCATCAATTTAAGGCATAAGAGTTACTGGGACAAGCCTAAGCTACAGACCAGACTGTCATAATTAATAAGTCTGTGTGTCATGATTTTGGGGCTGGCAGTCCAAAAAAATGCCTGCTACACTATCTCTTATTCCTTTTAGGATGAGGACTATGGTTTTTATGGTAACACCTAGTACTGGGGAAGTAGAAAGGAAACTGTTAAGTGCATACACTAGGGCTGGTAAGATGCTCAGTTGTGAACACCCCGTCCCATGGCCGCAGGACTGCCAGCATAGGAAGTTGTCAGTTAGGGTTCCGTTCTCATGCTAAGATATTTTTTATTTTGTTTTTCAACACAGGGTTTCTCTGTGGCTTTGGAGGCTGCCCTGGAACTCACTCTGTAGACCAGGCTGGCCTCGAACTCACAGAGATCCGCCTGCCTCTGCCTCCAGAGTGACTAAAGTTGTACACTACCACAGACCACTCACCCTAAGATTATTAAACAAAGGGGAAAGGCACCAAGCCTGATGACTTGAGTTTGATCCCTGGGGTCAACATGCAGGGAAAGAATTGACTCTTGCAAGTGTGGTTCACACACACACACACACACACACACACACACACACACACGCACACACACACAGAGACACACACACATATACACACACACACAAGCACCCCCCACACACGCACACGCACACACAGACAGACACACACACACATACATACACACACACACAGACAGATACACACATACACACACACACAGAGACACAGACACACACACACACCCACACACAGACAGACAGACACACACACAGATGCACACACAGAGACACAAACACACACACACATACACATACACACACACACAGACAGACACACACACGCACACACAGAACAAATGTAATAAAAAAATTGAAAAGAACATAGTTCTTTTTTCTCTCCCTCCATGTTTCCCTCCCTAAATAAGATCTCTCCTTGCTGTCCAGGCTGGCCTTGAGTTTAGTTGAGAATGACTTTGAACCGCCCTCACTTCCTGCTGGGATTACAGACATGCACCCTCTTGTTTGTTTCTTTCTGAGTCTTATTTTCTGACACAACACTGGTGTTTTTGCTTTATTTCGGGTGCAGGTCTCACTATGCTGCCCGGGTTTGTCTTGAACTCATGGCTCCAGCGTTCCTCTGGTCTCAGTCTCCAGCAGAGGGGCTGTTCCGCAAGCGCATGCCACCGCCTGGATGTTCACCCCTCTGTCCCCCTAACACATCTGGCCAAGATTTCACGACTTCAAAAGAAAGTTTTCCCAAGGAAGTGTCTTTTGCATCCCTCAATCCTCCTTTCTCCATCCCCCCCCATTACTTTAATTTCCTTTCTGATTTCCATTTCCTGCTTTCCACTCACTGTGGGGTTTATTTGCTTATTAGCCTCTTGAAGCGGAAGCCATGTTGCTGGGTTGAGGTGTTTCCTCTTCCGGCAGCATTCTTAAGTATCACTTTGTTTTGGGGTTTGGGTATTGGATCTGGAGCCAGAGCCCAGTGCAGACTAGGTAAGCTCTCTGGTGCCAAACGGTGTCATCAGAGCCCAGTGCAGACTAGGTAAGCTCTCCGGTGCTGAACAATACCATCAGTCCCTTCCAGTTTGCCTTCTGATACCTTTTTTGACCAATGTTATTTAAGAGAAAAACTTCTTTTAATCCCAGCTTTTTGGTATGGCTCTCTGGCTGTCTGGCTGTCGATCTCTAGCAGAGGATAAACTGTTGGCATTTCGGGCGGATCGGGGATGGAACAGGAGTGGGTCAGGTATTCTGACACTCGGGAGTCACAGAATACTGAGTGTTACACAGCTCAGGTGGAAAGGTATCCTGGAGCTCAGGAGCCAAGGACCACCACAGGTTGCAGTAAGCTTAGCAGCTTACAGCCCAGCCTCAGGGAAAGGCTTCCCCAGTGTATCGGCTCTGCCCAGGCAGGACAGGGTCTTCCAGTTGGGGATGTTCGCCCAGTGTAGCAGTTTAAGGTTTCTCAGGTGAAGTTGCTACAGTTCAGCTCTGCTCCTAGAGAGCAGAGAGCCCAGCGGGGAGCAGAGTGTAACAACTCCGCTCTGCTAAGGGAAGGTTTTTCCCGGGCAAGTGTTACAGCCTTGCTCGCTCTGCTCTTGTCTCACCCAACGCTCATCCAAGGGGTTTATTGGGAGGGAAGGATCCCGGAGAGTGGCTGCCCTCTGCCAGAGTGGCAGAGGACAACCGGCTAGCGTGAACAGACACAAGCTGAACAGACACAGGGTTTATATAGGGCTTCCAGAGTGGGGATTGGTCAGATTTTAGTGCTGAGCTCAGATTGGCTAGAGCTCTGCTCGAGGATTGGTGTGTTTCTTTCTCTGATCCTTCTTACCCTTTTGGCTCCAATTTTAGGGTCAGGGTACATTTCTTTGGTTCTGGTGGCAGGGCCAAAGTGTGTTTCTTTGGCTCTGCTCAGGGTGTGTTTCTTTGACTGGTCCCTTTTCCCTACATAAACTCCAATGGCATGTTTCTTTAAAGAAGAGTGTGCGCCCTGTAGGTTGTCAAGGGAGGAGGATGAGGAGGGGCTGGATTCAGATGGATAGATCAGACCAGCCTGGTCGATGCAACAAAGCAGTGTTTTCTCCCCCCCCCCACCCTTAGGCATTCCAGTGTGCTCTGGAGTTTGTCATCCTCCTGCCTTAGTCTCCTAAACTCTGAGCTCACAGGTCTGTGTCACACATCACGCCTGGAAAAACCTGTCTCTTAAAAAAAAAACTTTCAAAAGCTGAGGAACACTAAAGAGTGTTGAATGTAACAACACAAAGAAACATAAAAATAATGGAGACAGAATAATTGGAGCACAAAGTGTGTGGGAGGACAGAATTGCCTGGCTCCAGGTGTCCCATGGAAGCCTCAGCTGGCTGGACTGGGGTCTGCTGGGTAGCAGAGAGGGAGCTGTGGGACAGACACACAGTCCTCCCACGGACACAGACACAGGCGTATTTCCCCTTAGTGATGGGCTCCTGTGGTTTCCGTTTTTGTTATCCTACAAAACAATGTGTTTCGTTAAGATATTTTCATACATGTATCACACTCTGTTCATTTTCACCACAAATGCTCTCTTGCCCCACACCCATCAACGCCCTTACTGCCCTAGGTATATAGTCCTCATTCTACTTCCTGTCACTCGCATCACTCTGTGTATAGTCCTCATTCTACTTCCTGTCACTCGCATCACTCTGTGTATAGTCCTCATTCTACTTCCTGTCACTCGCATCACTCTGTGTATAGTCCTCATTCTACTTCCTGTCACACACATCACTCTGTGTATAGTCTCTCACTTTCCTGAGTTTTTCATGGCTAAATAATACTCCTCTGTGAATGCAATCCTCACTTCCTGTCTCCACTGACATGTGGGTGGCTTCCAAGGCTGTTCCCTGTCTTGGCTCTTGTAAGTAAGGAAGGCTCAGTCAGCATGGATGCCTAAGAATCTCCGTGCTACGCAGACTTCTATGTCTTCATGCGCAGTAGAGCTGGGTCATACGAGAACTCTGTGTCTAGTGTATTTGGGGAAACTTCCTGTTCTCTGGGGGTTTTTTAATTAGCATGATGAACTCCTTAACTTGTCTGTGTTCTAACTGAGGCTACGATTCCTGGCCCCCTCACCAGTCTCTGTCCCTGCCTTCTACAAGGCCTCATGCAGCATGCTTAGTTAGAGCTCGTGAATTTGGGAATCACACATACACACACACACACACACACACACACACACACACACACACACACACACACTTGGCCGTACCTAGAGACCTGCTGTGTTTCCATTCATCTATCTGTCTGTCTGTCTGTCTATCTATCTATTTTCTTTCAGAATTTCAGGGCGTGTCTTCATTCCCTTGTGGGCACTGGCTGACAATGCCTTCGTGTCATCACTGGACCCGCTCTGTTGCTTAAGCATAGAGCAAGCACGAGTCCTAACTAACACCCTGCTCTATTGAGGCTCCCTCTGAGACTCTTGCTGAGCATCTGTGGGACTGGACGCCCACAGGCCAGACTGTAAGTCTGCCCCATCCAGTTGAGAGTAGGTTCAGGGCACGTTCTGGAGTGAAGCTCCCGGCCCCCTCGGCTGCTCCCATCTCTCCTGTGTGACTCTGGGCAAGACTCCCAGTGTCTCCCTGTGACGATTGTGGTGCTGGGTTGCGTGGCCGCTGTGAGCTCCTACTATAGAAGTGCTGGGGGTGGGGCAGGGGGTGTCTCAGCCGAGAGAGCACTGACTCTCCTCCTGGGGACCTGGTTTTGTTCCCCTGCATCTGCACGGCAGGCAGCTCACAGTCATCTGTGACTTCACCCCCAGGGGCTCCAGTGCCCTCTTCTGGCCTATGTGGGCATCAGTCATGTACATGGTGCACAGACATACATGCAGGCAACACACACACACACACACACACACACAGAGTACATTTTAAAAATTAAATTAAAGGTAGATACTGAATTCTTGGGTCGTGTCTCCTCTAAGCTGTTTGTGGACAAAATTCTGACGACATCAGGTAACTTCCATGATCCAAGAATGGGCAGGAGAAGGATTGGCTAGAAGGTTCCTTCTTTCACGGAATTAATCCAGAGTTCAAGCCCAAGTTGGCATCCTAGTTAAGGTAGCTATGGCTGTGATGAAATCCCGTGACCAAAGCAACTTGGAGGAGGAGAGGGTTTACTTGGCTTACGTTTTTTTGTTTCCACATCACAGTTCATCACCGAGGTTAAGTCAGGGCAGGAAGCTGGAGGCAGGAACTGACGCAGAGGCCATGGAGGAGTGCTGCTTGCTGGCTTGTTCCTGGTGGCTTGCTCAGTCTCTGTCTTCCTTCCTTCCC